GAGAAAGAAATTATTTTTATAAGATTGTTTTTCACTTTTCATTTTTTCCCCAGAAATGGTATTGTGCTCTCATTTGCCGTGTTTAGATCACACTTAGATGAACCTTTGCTGACCATGGAATATAATTGAAATATTCATGGACCAAAAATTCCCTTCTCCCAAGCCAGCACAGCCACGTTTATGTCTTTCAAGGATGTCTGCGTAGATTCATTATTAAAACATCCCTCCTAGCTTCCTCACAGAACTAGCAGAGGAAAATTAATTGAAACAACAGGACCCAAGCCCCAGTTTGGAAAAAACAACCCTGATCGATGTTGCTCAGGGCTGTTTCATGGATGCTGAGGGTGGTGAGTGCCATCTGCACACACAGAGAAGACACAAGTAGTCCAGCTCATTGCTTTCAAAATGAAGAGCTCTGCACCGCATTAGTGGGCATTTTGATATCTTGTGCAATGTGGTCCATGCTCTGAAGATCCAGCACAGCTGACCAAGAAGAGCAACAAGGTCTTTTTCCAAGAACAAGCCTATACTCCATGTGTCAGTGACTAGAGCTTGTGTTGACACTGTTTATTTCCAAATTCCTATAGTTTTCTCAGTGTCACCGATCTCAGTACCTCCTGGCTTTGCTCTGGAGACTGTAACACCTTTGCCATATTCCTGTTCTAGTGCAACCTGTTGCAGATGGAGGTGGACATTTTAGCCACTAATCTAATAAGACCAAAGTAAAGGAATTGCCAGTATTTCTACAGGTTCTGCAGTAGCTGCTGTCTTCCAACCCAGAAGGGATTTTCCTTTAGGAGAGTTGTAGCTATATTCAGAGTGGTTGTGCTGGACCTCAGTTCTGATAGAAGATGACACAGGCCATAGCAGAATAAAGTCTGTGCTGAAGTAACAGATTTTCCTGAACTAAATGCCAAAGCGACCAATACAGTTGGCCATACGGTAGCTCTAGAGTGTTCAGTGGCCAGACGTGTCAGATATCCTCAGATTCCACCAACCAGCAAATCTGCGTGGAAAATGAGGACATGCCAGGGAAACCCAGATGGACAACAACCAGCATGTGTGGCCCGACTGACTGGAAACTGCTCCTGCTCAAACAATCTCGCATTTAGGCAGAGAGAGCCCTTGTACAGAAGTTTGCATCCTTTGTTCCTGATTGCTTTAAGGCAGAAGAAAGTTTTCTCTGCTCGGCCACCTGGCAGCTTGCAGGTATCTTTGTACGGTACAGATCCCATTCCTTAACCTGCCCTCTTGGAGGCTGAATCACCTGCTACTGTGAAGCCAGAAATGGGCAGACTCACGCAATACTCTCTGAGTGCACGATTACAGACCTAGCTGAATGGCTGTCGTTTTCTCGCTCAGGCTTAATGGCTCCTTTCGGAGCTGTTACGGACCATGATTTAAATGTGTGTAAAGAGTAGTTTTCAAAGCTTCACTCAGTGCTGCCTCAGAAAAGGCCAGCAACCACAGGCATGACATTTGCAGGGCACATTTTGCTCTCCACTTCCATTTATTATAAATCCTGACATGAAGCCTATGGGCTTGTCATTTGTCTCATAGTGAGGTATTAGCTGTGTTACAGAAAACCCTTCTCAGGGCTTTATTTGAGCTACCAGGGCTCGATTCAAGTCTTGCACTTATAAATGCGTAACTTAGCTCTGGTTGTAAACCAAAGATGTTTACAGTCTCCTTGGACAACTCCCAGGAAGAAGTATCAGCAGAGCAGGGTTTTCTTTTGTCATCCCTGGTTCTGTTGGTATGTTGGGAATATGGCAGAAGTTCTTGTTTTGACCTCTTTGACTTTGCCCTCTTACAGGGTGATGCTCTTAGCAGTTACACAAGACACTGAGGTGCACTTCTCCTCCCTTTGCTCAGGTGTTTCATGTACTTAGACGGAGAGTGACTCCTGGGAGACTTGTGCAGCTAAGAGGGTGCTCATTAGAGCTGCTTTAAGCTCTGAACCATCAGCAGTGTTTCAGCAAGGACGATAAAAATTGTACTGTGAATCACAGTACCCAGTCTCAGCTTGACCTCAGGTTGTGATTTGCCTGTGGAGCAAGTTTGGCAGGAATATCCCTGGAAGAGAATAGGCTTAAATGGCCACAAAACCATTTTTAGTACATTTGTGCTTAGGACAACAAGCAGCCAGACTTCAAACAGGACCATAATTGCATATTTGTGCTTACATTGTTCCCATGTCATTTTGAAATCTACCCCAGAGCTGCTCTGGAAAAGCAGACAAACTTTCCAAAATTATGCAAATCTTTCATCTACTCTGCACTAGTGCTTCTGCTCCAAAACAGAGAAGATGAATAAGGGAGCTTAAGCCTTTCAGTCATCCTGTCTGTTTGGCTGCACCAGTTAGCAATACATCACAGATGAAATTAAGTTCACTGCCACTTCAGCACCATGTCTCTAGAAACCATGGTGATTTGTTCAGGCATCAGTTAAGGAACTGCGCTCCTTTTTCTGGGATCAGCTGCCTTAATCCAACCATTTGCTATCAATTTGCACAGCTTTTCTGCAGTCTTGATGGATCAAGCCAGAGTCATGCCGACAGCCTGCTGGAATCTCTCCTCTCTGCAGACCTCCCCCAGCAGAGGAGAACCTGACAATAGCTCTTCTGTCCCAGGCTTGTACATTATTTAGGCTGATCATTTCTGGTAGCAGAAGCAGATATGTATGACAGGGAAATATAACTGGACTTCCAGGAGGAAAGCCAGTCTGAAGATGGCTGGCTGTTCTCTGTGCTGAGATGATGCTGTGCTGCCAGGCAAGCTGGCCTCATTCCCTTCTGCCTCTGCTTCAATGTTGCCAAGAGGTTTCCCAATACAATCTCGATTACCAGCCAGCGTTAAGAAAGCAAATCAGGGCTGGGTTTTCAGATCTAAGTCAAATTTACAGTGCTGTCAAATAACGAAGAAAAACACTTTGACATCCTTTGACATTGAAACCTAAGTGCTTTCAGCTGGGATCATGGAGAGTGCAAATATGGAACCCCACAACGCCATTTTTTCTTAGTCCTCTGATTACAGCTGCACTTTCATGTTCTCGCCTGGGATACACTGTTCAGTGAGGCTGGGCTCAGTGTAGGAAACGCCATGACATTGCAGGAACAGTAGTCACAATCACAACATCATCCTTTCCGTCCGAGTACGAAAATTAATCAAAACAAGGAAGAGGGACTTACCTGGGTCATTCCCCAGGGCAGTGTCAGAGGGAATTTGGCATTCTGCCCTCCTAGTTCTTGGGACCGCACTTAAACTAACCATGGGGAGCTGAGGTATCTCTGGGCTGCTAAGTAATCCAAATAGCCTTTGTGCTAAAGTTTAAATGAATTGGGTCTGTTAATTATCCTTCTCCTCTCTGCAGGGTGATGCCAATAGGTCAGACACAGATGAGGACAAGACATCTGCCAACTTCGATGATGATTTTGAGAAGCTAAAAGACCTCAGAGCAACAGGTAGGATTTTGTCTCTACATTTTCCTGGGAATCTGAGAGCTACAGCTCTGCTTCCACAGTCATCTTTTCATAGAAACTTAAGGGAGTAAGTGGAAGAATCCATTTTATTTGGCAATTAATCGGATAGCTACGTTACCAGAGCAGCTATGCAAAAAGTGTTGGGAAAGCTAAATGAGCATTGATATTTCCTTTAAACAGATGTTTTTTCTAATTTAAACTATACTAGAATATTTAGATATGTCTCATCGTTTCTTCTGTATCGTTACCACAGAACAGTTTGCTGACAGCAATATTCTCACACTGCTTCTCAGCAGCTTTTCAAATCAGTCATGTTCTCATCTGTTCTTTTTGGTTTCTCACACAAATGCATTTAGGTGAGGTTTGATTGATGGAAATGTTGCTGTTCATTTGTGTTACAGGAGGGCCTGGCAATTGATTTGAGGTAAGGCCACATTGTGTTAGTGTACTATAAACATGGAATAGTAGTTGACAGCCTTCACTCTGTACAGTTTGCAACCAGAGAGGGGACAGGAAGGGATCACATATTTTAACAGAGTGAATAGCATGATGGTAAACAGGAGCCAGTTTAGTTCCCCTGTACTTTGATTCTCGGCTTGGGCTCTTGTTAGGATTACTTTAAATGCTTCTAAACCAGGATTCGGTTCAGCTAAGGAAATGATATTGAATGTGGTGAGCAGATGGAATTCAGCTGAGGAAGGGGCAGAAGTAATTTGTTGGGGAAGCTGAGACAGAGCTGGATCACAGCAAGGTGATGGAGCTGCTCAGTCTGTGAATGAAGCAACAAATTCCAAACACCAAGTGATCGAATGAAAGTCCTTTGCAAATAGTCAGCAAGGAACCCACAGCACCAACTATGCACCAGCTTTGCACCAACTATTTGCTGAGCAACTTCAAATAATAAGAGAGTTCTAGGGGAAAGAAATATTGTCACCTCTTCTCAGATAATACAGGAATAGAAAACAGGGCTGAACTTGCCATCACTCAAAGTCCATGACTACACACACAATTGTGTGTCTTCATAAGCCACAGGGGTACCAACCGGTGACTAAACAGCATAAGGACATTAACAATTCTATTACAATGCTGTTGGTCTGTAAACAGATACACTAGTAAGAGGAACGTGTATTGCAGATTAGCAAATTTTGAGTTGGATCTTCCACTCCTCAAAGTGAATTGCAGCATTCCCATGGACTTCTGTGGTGCAGATCAGGTATTTGTGCACAAGTCAGCAACTAAACAGATGATACAATAGAAGCACACTGCATTACAAAAGCAGCCAGTGGAAGAAAAATAGCAGGGGTAATGCACTTGCTTGGATTTCCTGCTGCAGACTTGTACTTCTTTCCTGCTGGTCACAGATGCTCCCATCCTTCCCCCTCCTTAAGACTGATTCTGCAGTTATTAAGCCAGAACCCACTAAGCCCAGTAAAACAGGAGCTAGTTCAACTTTAGTTTTGTGTTTAAAATTAGGCTTTTGGTTTTGAGTATTACGGCACTCCGTAGGGCTGGAGGTGTCATGTCTGGTTTGTCTTCAATGTGAATATGGTTTTTTCAGTCTATACTTGCCATACAGCTAAAATAGATGGTTTCTGCAATTACCACAGAGATGTGCCATTAGATTTCTCTGTTACAGAAGGTTTACTCTTCTAGATGGGTGGATGGTCTCCTTCTATGACAAGGTGACCCGCTTAGTGGATGAGGGGAAGGCTGTGGATGATGTCTACTTGGACTTTAGTAAAGCCTTTGAGACTGTCTCCCACAGCATTCTCCTGGAGGAGCTGGCTGCTCGCGGCTTGGATAAGTGCACTCTGCGCTGGGTTAAAAACTGGCTGGACGGCCGAGCCCAGAGAGTGGTGGTGAATGGAGTCGAATCCAGTTGGCGGCCGGTCACGAGTGGTGTTCCCCAGGGCTCAGTGTTGGGGCCGGTCCTGTTCAATATCTTCA